TCCGATAAATCCGATTCGATCCGATCCGTCGGATCCGGATCGGATTCGGATCGAATCAGATTTTTTGCGGAACACTATCTTCATTTGATAAAGACTGGCAAAAAAGAAGGATTAATAACTTGATTGATAGATCATGATAATGAAAATGAAGATGAAGGATGGATTGAGCTAAAATCTTATAAGGAAAATATGTTTACAAAGTTACAAGAGATAAAATCAGGATTTTACAACAGACCATTTAAAAAAAATCTAGAGTCAATAGATTCTTTATTGCCTAATGACTATGAACCTGACCACACACATCAGATGACAATTGGAAACCATCACCCAGTTAAGGTAATAAAGTTAGATAAAGAAAAATAATTAAGTTTATAATTTACTAATAAAATATAATCACATTAGGTAAATGGGTTTCAAGAGTTGCAAGAATATCTTCATACAGATCGCAAAATTCACTTGTATTTTGTTGTCCACCAGATAAATTTGAAGAATTTTCCTATCAAAAATATGTGACAACTACCGGAGGAGAGTTTATAGGATGGAATAAATCAAATGATTGGATCTTGAAAAATATTGTTCAATATGTTCTTAAAATTGATTTGAAAGTTGAAGTATCAAAACATAAAATGGAGGATGAAGATATTGAAGTTGGTAATAAAAGTTTCAAAAAATGATTATAATCTTTTTTTTGTTGTTGTTGTAAATAATAAAAAAATTTTAAGGCTAGCATTTTATTGTTCCTTATTATGCAGATATTTTTTTAAAGGCATAATAATTTAATATATGGCATGAGCAATAAATACTTGTTTTAAAAAAAATCTCGTTATTTTAGATCTGTGATTTAGATTTTTTAATAAAGATTCAAGTCTCTTTCTAACGTGCAATTACGAAGGAGCATGGCAAATAGATAGGTTTGGTCGTCCTAAAAAAAACCGTTCTCAGAACTTTGAGATGTGATCCCGAAAAATAGCAAACTAAAATGATCAAAAAGGATATTGATTTGTCTTATAGAAAGAACCATTTCGACACATTTAAATGTCTTTTTGCGTTATTAAGAATAATTTGCTAAAGAAAAAGTTGTTCCTTTCTTTCGAATATTTCAGATGAAAATGTCTACAAGTCGTTTCAGTATACCATAAAAACAATTATTTGAAGGTGCCCAGGCTATTCGCCATATGAGTAAAAAATTTTTCCTGGGGGAGGAATCTTATTTTGACATTCAGAATTTCAACAAATGCCGGGATACTTCTAGCGCTGAGGAATATTAGTCGAATTCCTTCAAGCCAGTAGTAGTTGAATTGCCCATAGATAATCTATGGAGTATCTGGTGACCAAATAATCTTGGACGATTAAACCAAACCAATTTTATGGCTGAGGAGTGAGAAGGTATGCCAGAATCTGTTATAAAAAAATAGAATTGAACGAATTTTATTTGATTTTTAAATCAATTTGGCATGTTCGTTTTAGGAGTGATTTTGATTTTTTGGTTGCAGCAAAACTTCGAATCTATGTATTCGGTAAAATTTTTGAATCATTCGGATTAAAGAATTCACAAATGAATAAATAAATCACAAAGTGGACTCTTAATTTAATTAATCACTGAATTAATTATATTGAAAATTACAACCAATGCTATAAAAAAAAAATAATGCTAGAATGGTTAATAAACGAATAAATAAATGATTTAACACGTTATTTTGTTCTTGACTAATAAACTCGGATTTTGTTTTTTTCCTTTCAAGTAAATCTCCAGTAATTCATCATTCCTTTTCTTGTATAATGAAACGTTTCTTTTCAGTTATTATATCATCTAAATTTGCATCTTCCATTTTAGTAACTTTTCTCTTCATACTATCAATACCATTACGCTTTTCTAACTGTTGAAAACGTGAACGTGGTAGATATTCGGGATGTGTTGTTATAAGATATTCCATCTATTATAAAATAAAGAGATAGATTTATTTATTAGGAAAAAATAAATAAAAATAAACGTTTTCCTTACCATTTTTTCACGAAGTTCCCCTTTTAATTTAGAAGCAGACTTAATATTAGAAGCTAATCAAATTAATAAATAAACATTTATTTTATTATTATTTAAAATACGCGTCTAAGACCAAAAAAAAAAAACCTCTCCTCCCTCTACCGAAATACCGAACATACCAGTCATGTAAGCTTTTAACATCATACAATTCTCTCTACATTCTTTAATAGTTAAACCACCGTCACGATGATCCCAACATTCCGATTTTTGCAAAATATAATTATAATATTGTTTTAAATCTTCCAAAGGTACACCATAATCAACGAAGAATTCAAAGTTCATTCCAATATTTTCATTAGTTTTTGACCAATTTTCAAATGTATCATTAATAACTCGAGATAAGGGAACAATAATACGTCGTTCGTCACCGGTTTTAACTACAATATATTGAGCTTGAATTTCTTCTACGATCCCCTCTTGCCCATCGATCATAACGTAATCATCAAGCAAGAGAGGTTGTGTTAAAGCAATTTGCAAAGAAGCTATTAAATTTTCCATTGAAGGTTTAGCGGCCAAGCCAATAAATAATGCAGCCACGCTCGCACTTGCCAATATACTTGCACCAATTTCCCATGCTCTAGGAAACGTTAAAAGGATCGCAGCGGATCCTATACATAATATTAAACCATAAATCAATCTTGTCGTAACTATCAATTGTGTATGTAATTTACGTGATTGTGCACTATTTGATGATTTAATGAAATCATTATTTTTTGATATGGATATCGAGGCAGCTTTAACAAATCCTATCGTTGACCATGTTGTAAATATGATTAATAATATATCTAATGCATGCCTAATCGGTTCCATTATTGTTGGATCTACAGATATTGATATAAATGACAAGGTTATTACAATTGATCCTATCGGAAACAAAAATAATGTTGGTAACGAACTATTGGTAGAGAGAGATTAATTTTTTTTAAAAAAAGATCAAAGGTTACGGAAAAAAAACAAAAAAGTTTAATTTTACATGATAAATTATTTACCAGTTTTTGACTACTTCATTATCAAATGTCCACCCTGTCTTCAATGCAATTTGCTTTAATATAAATGTTAACAATAATTGAATTAATATTGATCCACTTGCAGTTCCTCCGATAATTATTAAGGGAGTCGCATGATCTCCTTCGGAAAATCTTAATAAAATTTCATCTGAACCCGACGAATTGTATATAATTGTTGTCATTTTAATTTTGATTGATTCAACACAAATTCTTTTTCAAAAAGTTAAAAGGAAAAAAAAAAGGATAAAATGAAAAATATGGTGAACCTGACTGAATTAAATCATTAAATTATTAGTATGTTGCACAAAAATAAACAAAACAAGTTTGCCAGTAATTTTGAATTAAATTAAATGAGATCACCCAAATAATTCCCATATTTCGTTCTTTAGGGGGAAGAACATTGATTATGACGCATCGTTTTTAATACTTAATAGGAAATTACTGTAAATTTATTTAATTGATTGCAAATAATGCATATCAGAATATTTTGCGGGAAGTCTGGTCTGGAAATCAATCATAACAAATTGATCAATAAAATATTTTTATTATTTTTTATTTGTATATAATTATTTTGACCCTTTTCGTTTTGAACTTTGACTAGTTTTTGATTGTATTGCCACTTTCTCCCCTTTTTTTTTCTCCTTAAATTTTAATAATTTCTCCCTATATTTTTGTTCTTGACGTTCTAACATTCCAGAATTTGGAACAAAATTTGATTTTAAAATTCTGCGAATAGATTCTGGTGAAATTTTAAATTGTTGAGAAAGTTTTTCGGCGGTATATTCTTCCGGCATCTATTTTCAAATAAACCGGTTGAAAAAAAAATAATCAATTAATCAATCAATCATATATGTGAATGTTCAAATACCTGGGTATTTAACCAACGAATTTTATCCATAGTTTCCCTATTAACTTTTTTATGTGGTTCCCATTTTTTAAACCCTGTTCTCTCTTTCATGGCAAATTTATGTCTTAACCATCCAGGAAGGTTTGCATTTTCACGCCAATTTGGTTCATAATTCACATTTTTGTCATCGGGTTGCATCTCTTCTATGTTGATTTTTTTTTTTCGATTAGACTCTTTTGCATTGGTAGCGGTTATTTGAAAATTAGGATTACATTTTTTACTAATCATTTGAAGTAAGAAAGCTCTTTTATTTAATCTTGATGTTTGATGTAATTGAATTTGTCTAGTTAAATCTTGTTTATATTTGTCTCGTTTCATTTCCTCAATTGACCTTTCATTTTTCTTATCCGTTGGTTTTTCTTTACTTTTAAACATTTCTCTTAATGTAGAAGTTTTTAATCCTGATTTCTCAAAAGTTTTACTTGATTTCTTTCCAGTCACTTTTTTCATTTTTTCTTCCTTTTCAGCTATTCTTCGAGCTGCACCATCATTTACATTATTATGTAATTTACGATATAAAAATGATGGCGGTTTAGATATGATAGAAAGTTCTTGTATAATATGTTGTTGTTGTTGGACCTTCTTTAAAAGGTTTCGAGTGCAATAAAGTGAAATCATTTTATCAAGGAAAAAAAAAAGTTACGCCGATTTAATTTACACAAATGATCGGAAAGATTTTGCCGATCATTATTTAAAAGGTTATTACCGTATAGCGCTGACATTAGTACCCCCTTTGCAAAATATCCCCCTTGAATAGTAACGGATACTATTCAATCACCAAAAATAAAATTTTTGATTAATACCGGGGTACTAATAAATTAACCAATTAAATTGATAAACATGTCGATCAAATTTATCGCAACGATGTCGATCAATTTTATCGATTGTAATATATTAAACATAAAAATCAAAATTTATTATTATATTTTATACTTTATCAATATTAAATGTCA